AAGAAGCTATTAGAAACAAGTGCATCGCTACTAGGAACAAGAACGCTGCTAGGAACAAGTGCATCGCTACTAGTAACAAGTGCCTTACTACTAGGAGCAAGAAGCTATTAGAAACAAGTGCAGCGCTACTAGGACCAAGAACGCTACTAGGTGGAGGACTTCGCTAGTAGGTTGGAGGCCATCGCTTCTTTCGCTTTGCACTGCGCAATGGAGTCTCGACTCATAAGCTTGCTTGTGTGCTTTGGTCTAACCCTTGCTTTTTCACGTCAGTGTCCTTTTGTAAGTTGAAGGTTAGGTGTAGCAACTCTTGCAAGCCCACCCACTTGGCCTACAAATTTTCTTTAAGTGTAGAACTCTGAGGGTCTAGAGGTTGAGAGGGATGTAGAGGTCTAGAATGATCCAAACGCCAAGAGATCCAGAGAGATATCTAGAGGCCCAGAGGCCTAGAGATCCAGAGTCCAGAGAGCATGCGGCAAAGCGAGAGAGGAGACGAAAAGAAGAGAAAGGAGTGAAAGAGGGTCAAAATTGAGGGTGACACACACGCGCAGGCCGCCTGCAGGCCGCCCGCCTGCAGCCTGAGAGCACGCACGCACAGTGAGTGCTCTCAGGCAAATCCAGTGTTTCTTAAACTGAGTGTCTTTGTCATTGATGAGAAACATGGCAAGATCTGCCGTCGCCGGCCAGTTGACGGACTTGCCTCTTCCTGTTCTTTTGCCTGCTTTGATTTTTTTCCGTCGGCTGAGACAGCAAGTCTCGCCATGTTGTCGTCCATCCAAGACGCTGCCTGAGCTAGAATTGTGTGTGCCAAAGGTTTCAATCGCGAGTTTGCAGGTTCGCATTTCAGATCTAGCCCGAAGATGCTTGCGTCTCTGTTCTCCAGGTAGTTTGCCCGCTCCTATGCACTGCTTGGGTCCAGAGAGCCCTCACATTGAGTTGATCATTGAAGCACATCACCTGGACTGCCAGAGATGCTTTGCACTCTCCCACCTGCAGAACGAAGCATAAAGAGTCCGCCACATGCTCTGCACGTGTCGACTAAGAAGCCTTCTCGAAAACTGGCATCGACGCGTCGATCTGATGGCATCCCCGTAAGCAAACAACCCAAGCCAACCAGGACGCAGCAAAGGATGTGGGCATAGACGAACACAACTTGTCCAGCAGTGTCGTCCTTGGATTGCTTTGAAGCCAGAATTTGTGGCAAACCATATCCTTGTCCAGCAGTGGATGGCATTTTTCCATGACAACATCTACAAATTAAACACTTTCGTAGTCCCACAGCAGTGTTATTTCAGTTTTATTTCCAAAAATGTTTCTTTCAGGTATATTTCAGTCCCTATTTCAATGTTATTTAAGGTTATTCCAGGGTTAGAACTACTTCAGTCTTGCTTTAAAGGGGTGGGTTTGGGTGGTGTTGATTTCGTGACATCTTCAACAAGGTTTGTGGGTTACTCCTCGGCTGGCCTTGCGTTTTTCTTTCCTGCTTTGCACTGTCTTCCTCTCTAGGTGTTGAATCGAACTTCGGCTTGGGTCAAAATACTGTTTTTCCGTATAGAAATTGGCTGTTTGTTAGAACTCAGGAAGAAGTCGAAGGAGAGCTTGAAGGTCGTGCTTTCCCAGCTCATGCATGAATGGGCTTACGAGGTGCTAGAGCTGGTGGATGGGGATGTAGATGTCCACAAGTTCAACAATTCGTCTAAGACCGCAGAAGAAGATCTCCACGAGCTCTTCAATCAGGGCAAGCAGCAGTTTGAGCAGCTGCCGAGTCACAATCTGCATCGGGACTACACAAAGCACTTCCTCAAGGGCTGCTTCTTCAGAATCAGCCTTCCCACAGAGGGTCCTTTGGATGCTCTAGGTGGTGAAAGGTTGACGATGTTTTGGAAATCGAAGTCAGAATTAAGGAACTGACCCAAAGATGGAGATTGACAACTGGATCGGTCTGGTCTCCCAATCCATCTTCGCACCGCTCCTTTGGCTGGATTTGCTGCAAGCTTTGTGTCAGGTTCCATCTCTGTGAGTAGAAGGCCGCTGAGCTGAGATAGCTTAGGAATGAGAAGTTGGTTGGGAAAGCCGCCTTTGAGCGGACCTTGGACATTGCCTTCACGACCTCCCTTTGTCGCACCTTCCAACATGCATTGACGGAGTTTGACGCGGACTTCATCAATACGGTTTGTTCTAAGTATTCCCAGGAGAGTGTGATTAGTGTTAGCTGCGGTGTTTTCTTAAGCCTGACTTGGCAAGACAGAATTTTGTAAAGCGATTGCAGCACTGTGGAGGACACGGGGAACAAAGTCATCCAGCAGTTTGTGAAGCGAGTTCTGCTGCCGGGATCGCTGCATCCTATGGTGGATGTAGTCAGCCTCCTTGTTCTGAAACATTTGCAGACTTGCTTCACGCGGTCTGACAAGCCTTATTCTGAAGAGACTAGGTGCCTCAAGGACTGACTTTGTTAAGGACTACTAGCAAAGCCATTGGACAAACTGCCGCTGCTCTGCAGCCGTCTTAACTTCAGGCTTTGGTTCTTCATTTGTTTCTAACTTCAACTTGTTCGTATCCACCATGCATGCTGATCGGAGAGGAGCTAAAACCCGAAGAATATTTCAATGCATCCGCCAACCACTATGCTGTGTTGTTGGTGCAAGAATTCAACAGAGATTCTGAGCATAAATTCAGACTTGCAAGTGCACGGTTTAGCGGGATACGTGTTTTCAAATGAGTGGTCCTGAGCTTAGGACTTGCATGAGCGTCTGGAGGAACACGGTGCGCTTCTTCAAGGACGCTGCCGGAACGGGGAGAGCAATTTTGCCCTGGACAACAACTGCTCTGGACACACCTTACCTGGTGATGCGTTCTATGCTGAGTCTTGCTCAAGCATTTGCAGGCTCTTGTTATACTGAACCATTGCTCCTTGTGTTGATGTCCAGCAAGGACGCTACTAGGTGGAGGCCATCGCAAGTAGGTTGGAGGCCATTACTAGTAGGAGGAAGGACGCGACTAGGTTGGAGGCCATCGCTACTAGTAACAAGAAGCTACTAGTAGCAACGTATCTGCACCCCATGGGTTCAACCCATCAAAATCGAGGAGAATCAGGGATGCTGCCCACCATTTCCGCTGAGGATTTGGCCGCTGAGAACTTTTGCAGTGCTGCCTCGCACTTTTTGAAAATGGGTATGCAGGTTCTTGGGAAAGCTGGGGTCAAAAGCCAGTACTCTGACGGCAGTGAGTGTCAAATCAGCTGCGGTTTCATTTCCACTTTCCAGTAATCTTGCGGCGGTTCGTTTTCTGTCGTAGGCAAGCTGTCTATTTTTATGAACTATTATTGGCGTCTGCTGCGCAGAAGAACTCTCAGATGAACGAGAAGGACATGTTGCTTGCTGCAGTCAGAACCATGCAAGCCGTGGATGGAATTGGCTAGGAATTGATCATCCATCCTGTAAAGTATATAATGACTTTGCAGTTTCAGCTGCTACTGCTGTTAATCCTGCGAGGTTTCCCTTGGGAGTGGAAGCCAAATCCGTTGACAAGGTGGAAACCTCATGTTGGTCTCAGAAATACTTTGCCCGGTGGACCTGTGTGCTGGACCTCTCCACGTTTGATTTCTGTGCCAAGTGAGAGCTTGCTGGCTTCAGGTACGAAAGTTACGATCGCTGCCCATTCCCGCGAACAAGACCATCGCAATAACGATGGATGTGAAGTTCCAGCAGCAAACTTCCACCAAGACGGAGCAGCCAGGTATAATGAGTACCTTGCGGAACGGAGATAAATCATCGCAAGCAGGTGCAGAGGACAAGAAGTTGGTCGGAATGGAGCTCCAAGACATGCGCTCCGACGAAGGCCTGCTAGACGAGAAGGCCCGAAGACGAAAAGGAATGCGTTGGCAAGTTGATCTTGGAATCTTAGCGCGTGGCAACGCTGCAAGCAACGCTTGGCTGATGTTAGCGTTTCCTCATTGTCAGATTGGAATGTTTGCTGAAGGAACCTTGTGGGCCTTTTGTCCAAGTGGCGTTGAATGACTTTAAGGAGAACAAGTGGTTGCTAAGCAGCTTGGTATACAAGTGGTGAAGTCAACGCAGCGTGTTCGAGTGGTTCCGCTGTAGGCAAGAGCTGCAAGTGTGGCGAGCCCAAACCGGTTGTGACCTTTGAGGACCGTAACAAGGGCATCGCTACTAGCAGCGTCCTTGCACGGTCTTTCCTACTTAGCTTGTTGCTGAGCTTGCAGCACTCTTGCCCCAGGAGGACGAGCTGAAGCAAGCAAACATTTCAGATCGGTTTATCACGGTTGATGTGCTCGTCAGACAGTGCGGAGTGAGCGTTACTTCCTGGAGTGGCTTCATCTTTGCCTGGCATGTTTCCTGAATGTATGTGCAGCTGCGTGACGAATCGCCAAGACTGGTGTGGTTTAGAATGAACACTGTTCTAGTAGCTTCTTGTTCCTAGTAGCGAGGCCAGGAGCCCCTAGTAGCGTCCTTGCTCTTAGTAGGCATGCCAGGAGCCTTCTTTTTCCTAGTAGTAAGGCCTGGAGCCCCTAGTCGCGCCCTTAATCCTATCCCCCCCCAATCCTATCCCCCCCCGGCGCGCACCGTGCGAAAAGGTCCTAGTAGCTTCTAGTTTCAATTCCAATTAAATTCTAATTAGACTTAAGTTAATTTTAGTTCTTTTTTTATTTATTTCTTGTTTCTAATAGCTTCTTGTTACTACTAGTAGTATGGCCAGGAGCCCCTAGTAGCCAACATTGTTGAATGTGGCTCCGAATGACCACTTTGCACTCTGCCCGTTTGAAAGGCATTGGCAATCCGCAGGCTCATGAAGCAGGCAAGGTCAGACGGTTCGCTGTGCCACAGTGGTCATGGAAGCTAATGCGGCAAGGCCACCGGAACCCTGAGACAAGCGTGGACTCTGCAAGTTTGGACGCCAGTGATGCAGAGGCCGATGGCGAGGAGCTCTTGTTTGGCTGTGTTTGGCTACTTGTTCGGCCTGTGTTGTTTCAAAACTGGGCCATGCAAACTCACTCACGTCACGAACTACTCTCCTTGACCACCGTTGCAGGAAACTTTAGAGCAGGAAGTCGAGGAGGGGGGTGGTCTCAAGCGAGATATTGAAAACAGCAGCAAGCTTGGTGAATGATATGGCGAGTTGCTCGGCAAATCTATTCTAAAGGGCGCCTGACAAAGATTTCGTGTTGAGGGGCGTGATGTGACTTCTGAAGACTTCTTCCATTCTTCAGTTGGAGCCCATCGCTATTAGGTTGGAGGCCATCGCTATGTCTTTTTTCTTTCAGATTGACGTGATGTGACGAGGTGCTTTCAAGCCACTACCTGGCTCAAGAGACGGTGGCCCTCGAGACTTCCGGAAGCTTCTCGTTGAGGCGAGCTGCGAGCTGGTGGAGCAAGTCATCAGCTTCCGGGAAATCTTGGAGAAGAGGCCTGCGGCCGACAGCGCCTGCGCTTATCTGCAAAGTTTTGGCTGAGTAGCTTATGACATTTCACCAGCAAAGCATAGATGGAACCACGTTTTTTTGATTAGCAGTTGGTTTTGTGGATGCATGTGTCAGAATTGGCGTAATGTTTGTTTGATAAGTTGATAACCACCTTTGGCACCCTGAGTATCAAGCGAGTATTTAAGGTAGAGGCTCCAGGTTGAAGTTTTATTGATTGTACAATGTTGTTGCAGGCTGGAGAAATTGAAGCTCACTGCCAAGAAGTACCTTGGGCACAAGATGAGCACAGGAGATGCAGCTGAATCGGTCCCTGCCTCATGTAAAGTGCCTCGTGTCTCAGACTGTCTGGCAGTTGATATAGTTGCTCGTGAAGCCAAGGTGTTGGATGAACTCTGCAAGGGTAGCAAGAAGCAGCTCAAGAAGCTCGAAAAGTTGGATGGCATCCTGGAGAAGGCTGTGCCCTGTTGATCTAACTCAGAAGGTTCTGCTAAACACAAGCCTTTTGTTCTGCCCTCCTGGAGATGGATGATTGTGCAGCTGTTGTAAATAGAAATCCTATGGTTCAAAAGCAGGAGATTTACTTCTCAAACCATCACTGGCTTCGATTCTGTACTGGGTTGCGTGCTTGCGTTTGTTGATGCACGCTTGCTTGGGGTTGCCCCCTCGCAGTAAGCTCCATGGTTTTCGCCAGGCCTTGCGCCTGCATCGCGAGTTCAAGAATCCGGACCCAGACTCCGACAGTGATTGAAGTGCCACTGTGAAGAACATCAGGGTGGAATCAATATTTTACCTTGGATCAATTGTGTGGTTTTGCCTTGGAGCACTTCGTCAATGTCAATATGTTGAACCACAATTTCAATTACTCACTCCAAAAGACCTCATCACTGCATGAGCTTGCGTGGCCGCTCAAGAGTTAAAGTCGCTTGCAGTCGTTTAGTTTGATTGCAAGGAGGTTCTCGTCTCCAGTCTTTTTCATCATGCCCTGGCTCAAGCTTATGGTTTCAACCAGGCCCTGCTGTAGCGCGGTAATGAGTGAATGAACAGTCATTGAGATGACTTGGAAAAACATTTGAGACAAACAGATTTCAGAACAAGTGACACCAGCACTTCATTGGACACCTTCAATGTGTCAGGTCTGTGTGCATGTTGCATGTTGCAAAGCATGTTGCATTGTGTCCGGATGCAGAACTCATGTGCCTTCATTTTTCAGAAGGCGTGTTATGGCCTCCATCAAAATGATCTCAATTACCAAGTTGCCTGAGTTCAAACAACATTGTCCACTTGAAAGAACTTCATGTCACAACGCGCAATGAAGAATGGTAGGATGGCCATGCTTGCTCCTGTTTAGTTGTTTCTACGAAGCTCAAGCCAAGCTGTTTTCGTCGACTGACGCCACTAGCTCAAAGAAAACACTCTGTGCGAGGAGGGCATGCAAGCATACTGATCTGTTCTCTTCCTCACCGCTTCACATGTTTTTGCATGTTCTCTCAAAGCTTGCATGCTTTTCTGACATTTTAGCAGTTCCGGCACATCTCAACTTGCATGCTTTCCCTGGACCATAAAGCTGATGTTTCATTTCAATTGAAACCTCAGTCGCAGCTAAGTAACTGAACAAATCTCCAACCTATTGCACATGTTGATCAATTCGATGAAACATATCTACCTGTTTGAAATGATGAGAGAATGGAAGGGAGGGCACCTTGCCAATGGACCTGCTCTTAATTTTGCAAGTGCTGCTGCATCAGAGAAGAGCGTGTGAAAAGGTCCTAGTAGCTTTTTGTTTCAATTCTATTCTACAGCTTCTTATTGTTTCTACTAGCTTCTTGTTCCTAGTAGTAAGGCCCTTGCTCCTAGTAGCGAGGCCAGGAGCCCCTAGTTGCAACATATCTGAGGTAAAAAATTCGACGTCAGGCGGGGTGATGGTGATGCCCTTTTCAATCCTGTTACTAGTAGCGATGCACTTGTTAATAGTAGCTTCTTGTTACTACTAGTAAGGCACTTGTTACTAGTAGCGATGCACTTGTTACTAATAGCTTCTTCTCTCCATATTCTTACGGAGAATCCTGCAGGCTCTCGTTCCGGACGAAAAAACCGCCAGAAGCTGTTTGAATCCGGAGGCCGCTTGAGATGGAGCAGATTTGTGTATTTTAAGGAAACAGTTCTATTTCTTTCCGTAGGAAACATTCAAACGTTCCATTTGCTTCTTGTTACTAGTAGTAATGGCCTCCAACCTAGCTGCGATGGCCTCCACTTAATAGCGTCCTTGCTACTAGTAGCTTCATGCTTCACGTGAGTGATTTGTGAGATGAGCAGCGATGCCCGCGGCACAAGCAAGTGCAACTTGGCAACAAGTGTGCTTACATGAAGTTTGGTGACACTCTGTAAGGGAAGGAAAGGAAAGAAAGGAAGGGACAGAAAAGAAAGGGGAAGGGCAACCCGGTCGAAAGACCCAAAGAGAAAGAAACGGCCACTCATAATTAGAGAGAAGAACAAACCGCCGTAAACAAAACGAGAAGCTACTAGGAGCAAAGGGCATCGCTACTAGGAACGCTACTAGGGGCTCCTGGCCATACTACGAACGGAGCAAGAAGCTATTAGCTTATTGTTTCTACTAGCTTCTTGATACTACTAGTAAGGCACTTGTTACTACTAGCGATGCACTTGTTACGACGAACGGAGCAATGTTCGCTACTAGGAGCAAGTGCATCGCTTCTAGTAACAAGCGCCTTACTAGTAGTAACAAGAAAGCTATTAGAAACAAGTGCATCGCTTCAGGTGCGGAATTGCAGTGGCCGCCACAGCGTTTATGTGGAGCGGAACTTAAGAGAGAGAGAGAGAGAGCACAAATCTCACGCCAGCTCTTGTAACTTGTATTTTGCAATAGCCTTGTCGCAGAAATCACACAAAAACACCAAACGGCCATGCGAAAGTTCATGCGTTGGTCAGTCTCGCTCGCATCCTTGCATTCCAAATTCTCAAGGTGTGTCTTGCTCCTCTCCACTTGGCGAGTACTGGAAAAGGACCATTCCGCATTTTCGTCTCCGCAATGCCGCGCAACAAGAAGCTACTAGGGGCTCCTGGCATCGCTACTAGGAGCAAGGACGCTACTAGGGGCTCCTTGCCTTACTACTAGTAAGAAGAAGCTAGTAGGGGCTCCTGTCTGCCATTTTGCATCATTTTGACAAGGATGGGCCAAAGATGCCAGATCCGAACATGCAACCGGTCAGAGTCGTAGATGCGACATCCAACACATGTGACACGTGATGCAATTGATGCGTGTTATACGTGATCCCTAGCATCTTGCGAGGTCATCAAAAGCCTGCAAAGCAGGATCATGACCTTGGAGAAAGAGCTCGCGCAAGCCAATGAGGTCGTTCTTTTTCTCACGGAAGTGATCGTTTGGTTCCTTCACAGGGACCTCTTGACACTTTGCATGTTTGGAACTGACACTTGAGTGGCAGGCCCTGGTCCAAAAGGATCAAATTCTGGTTTGTTCCTTAGAGCACTGTTTGTTCAGCTTCATGCTTTGACTTATATGAAGTCTTTGTTCTTTAGGCCGAGCTGCGAAACGTGCCAAAGGACTCAAAGCAGGTTGTGCAAACACAACAACCTGAGCTGGAAGCTTAGGAAGGAGATGCCCGTGTGTTTGGTGAAGCTTCAGCGTGAAGAGTTCAAGCACGATAAACTTATGCCACTGTGCCTTGCCAGATTCGTGCAAAAGACTAAAGCGTGTGACACCCAGTGCGGTTTCTTCAATTCAATTTTTCTTCAATTTTTCAATTCCAAAAAAACACGGCGCAGCAAACTTTGCAATCTTGTTTTGCTTTTCAAAGTGAGGCTCCAACTGCGCGGTTCTAGTGGGACTACTGAGCCTGAAACCACCGCCCAACATGGAACGTGCGATTTCCAAGAGAATGCGGATTACACCATCATGGGAGGCCGCTTCCTTTTGCCAAATATCAGTCCAGAAATAAATTGTTGGTTGGAGGCCATCTAGCGTTAGCATAGCTTAATGTGCAGGAAGCTACTAGTATTCACCATGGGAATTCTTGTGCAGCTTTTCAACTCCAGAGATGTCACCGGACATGCGTTGAACACTGATTGTTTAAAATTGTTACTAGTAGCTTCTTGCTACTAGCTTCTTGGAGGCCGAGGGAAAGAGGAGCTGGCCAAGTCCAATTCAAACAGGGCCACGCACCCAGAGAGACCTCTAGGTCTTGGCCTTAAAGAAGAAGAATGATTGAACACACTTGAGTAGTTAGTCTTCAAACA